TGGTAGCAGCATCTCCTTGCTATAACTTTAGAAGACCCTAGGGAATCACTGAAATTCTCTAGGGACACCTCTTGCTCTTCATCTGTATTCTGTAATACAAATTCCAGTGCTACTTTAACACTTGAATGATAACAGTTTCCACTCAAGTCAGCATTCCAATATATTGTAATGGAAAAAAAGCCTGGGTTGGAAGTCAAGACTTAACATCTTTATCAACCCAGTTACTGCAACAACTAAGCTACAAGTGACCTTGGAAAAGTCACTTAATCCCTGTACGGTTTAGTTTCTTCATTTCTAAAATGAAAGTGTAGAACTAGATTATTTCTAAAGTTCTTGCCAGGTATACTACTCCATGATTTTTATAAAATATGCCAAATAATGGGGCTCCTACGGAGAAGGAAACATTTCTGTAATTGTTTTCTCAAAATTCCCTAGTCTGAGTCCTCAATTGCTGCCCATATTTGGCAAAAAGGTCTTTAATTTGTTACATTCTCCTCATTGTCTTTAACCACCCGGTGAGTATTTCAAAAAGATACGAAGAATTAGTTAAGTAAAGTTTATACAATAACTAGACAAAGTACTCAAAAATATGTTTTCATTATTTTTATTTATTTGTTTAAAAGTTGTAAGTCATGAATTGAGTGATTCTTTTAACAAATTATTTAAGAGGCTTCAACCAAACCACAAAATATCTGATTTTGTTGCTAAATACTCTCTCTCAAAAAAAAAAAAAAAGGTCTGCTGTATTTGGCTAACACTAACTCTGTTTTGCATTTAACTTCTATGCACATTATAAGTAAATAACTATTCTCACTTCATAGGTGGATGTTAAGCAACCCAAAGGTTATCTGTAAGGCCACACTTTGCAATAGACAGTGGAGATCCATATGCTTTGAATTTCTTTACTTTTTAAATTCTATTTGCTTAAAATGAAAAATTCTAATTACGAATCTAACTTCACTCTTGGAATCTTCCTTCCTACTTCATAAGGTCTATCCAGTTGGCATGAATAGACCTCAAGATGAAATGGCAAACCCTGGAAGAAATGGTCTGGGCCTGTCAAGCAGTTCTGACCAGCCCAGCCTCCTTATGCTTTCAGGAATCAAGTGCAGACCCGGCCACACACATAAAAGTGGTGCGACCTCCTGAAAGGGACATTTTATGAATCTGAGCACAATGGATATTTTTGTAACATAAATGTGTTTGAGACCCTCAAATAATTTGAGGAGATGTTAAGAGCTAAAAGAACACAATGAACAAGTTTGGGCAACAAAATAGAATATGCCAGTATTAACATCGTATGTCAGTTTCACCTTCTCTCCTCTGATTCCTAATACTCAAACGATTTGTTTTCAAAATAAGGCATCTTGTTTGGGTCCTTTGTCTAGGAATAATTCAAATACTTGGTAGCAAAAGGAGGAGCATACCTTGATCCCATGCCATCATTTCTGCCGTGGTCCTCGCAGGTGCATTGTGAAGGGCATGAGGAGCTCACCTGTTCCATAAAGCTAAGTATGATGCACAGACATACAAATAGATGCATTGCTCCTTTTAGAAGTTATCTGAACAAAAGGTAAAAGCCATATCCTAAGCATTCAGAAACTGGTGTGCCAGGAATGCAAACATCCATTTAGTAATAGCAGATTACACAGGATTAGCTGAGATCTGTAGTTACTTAACCTTCAGGTGTATCTTGCAGGGGATCAATCGACCTAGCCTTTGAATATAGTTTCAGCAAAGTAACACATTATAAGGGAAATGAAGATTAATCATGTCAGGAAAATTTCAATAGTTGCCCATATCTAGATTTTCAAGAAAATGCCTATTAAATCCCTTTCCTGTGAGATTTAAAATCCCTTTCTTTGAAGATATACTTCATGTTAAAAATAATTTAGTATTTTAGCAAATCCTAAAAAATCGTGTAGATTATTTATTTGCAGTAACACTATAAATTTTATTTTTTGCATTTGTTTTCTTAACAGCATTCATAACATCCAGTTTCATAAAATTTAAAGACAGAAACATATAACATAAAATTGATTTAGAATACAGTTATCAGTGTTACCACATACTGGTTATTTATAGACATTCCAAAAGCAAAGTTAACAAAGTCTAGTCCATAATTTTTTTTTAGGAAAAACTCTTCGCTCCACCATTGAAGGGCAGGACTAAGGACTCTGGTGAGAGCAGGTCCTGAGACTCTTCCAGATCCTCAGTGTAAGGTTTATCGTGGTATGTTTATTTTTAACAAAGGCAGTTACCTCTGTTCTAGAATATATTTACTCCAAGCTAGCTTCCCCAGCTTACACGCATCCAAAACCATAATTGAAGATCAACGGTCATTTCTTTTAGCAATATTAGGCGCTATCAGAAAACGAAAATTAAATTTAAAAAATAAAACTACTCCCACACATAAAAGAGATTCCAAGGATTTAGGTAATAAACATGTAAGTCATCTAACCTTCTAATTGAATGGTTATATCTACCAACCTAAACCAAAACCTCTTTAAGAAGATTATCGATTGTATAAAAATAGGAATATTTTGAGAAATATTATTTAAGAATAAAAGAATTTACACAGAAGCAATAGAATCAGAAAAATGTGCTCAGTTTAAATAAAACACTTTATATTTTCAGATTCTGCCAATGCATTTGTTCATTAAGTATTTACAGAGCACTCACTCTGTGCCAAGCACTGGACTCAGTACTAGGGGTACAAAGATGAATAGCACAGTCACTACACATAAGGAACTCGCAGGAAATAAGACGGGCCTGGAGTCCTGAAGAAGCATGAGAACCTCAACCCGGTGTGTGCTGGTCAGGACAGGCTTCCTAGGGCAGGTGGTACCTGAGCTGCCTCCTATAGGATGTACATTAATTTTTTAAGGGAAAAATCAGGAAAGGGGCATTGCAAGCAGTGGGAATAGCATGAACAAAGGAATGGAAGCAACAAACAGGAAGCTGTCTTCAGAGAACTATAGGCAATTCTGGTTGCTCGGGCTTAAGATTTGAAGCAGAAAGTTTAAAAAAAAAAAAAAAAGTGGGAGAGAAATAAGATAAAACTGGAGACCAGGCAAGAATGAGGTCATGAAAGAAAGGCCTCAGATACACTGTTAAAGAGCCGGCACTCAGCCTATAGGCAACAGAGAGGAATAAAGGAAGTTAGGCAGGGGAGTGGCATGTCAACTTGTCATTGTAGATAGACTTCTGTAGCAGCTGTGGGCAGGGAAGGCTTAGGTAAAGCAAGTGAGAAGAAAGAGGAGGCTTCAGTTAGCCAGCTGTAGTTACAGTCTAGGTGAGTGTGGGTAACACTTAGGACAATGCAGCTTCAAGAAACATCTAGGAGGTAAGACAAAGAAGAAGCAGAGATTGAAGATCAGCTCCACAGTTTCTAGCCCTGGGGATGTAGTGGGTGGTGGTACCCCTAACTGAGATGGTGGCCACAGACAGGGGGAGGAGATGGTTAGGAGAAGGGGTGGGGAAGTGGGAGGTGGGGGCGGTGGGTAGAGCTCTGATCATCAAAAGACCAAAATGCTTTTTGAATTTTTAATTTCACAGATGTTATGACTTACATAGAAGCAATCCATGATGCCAGGTTGAGTATAGAAAAACCTATTTAAAAACGTAGGAGGCCTGGTGGTGAAGTGATTAAGAGCCCGGCTGCTAATCAAAAGGTTGGCAGTTCAAGTCTCATAAAACAAAACAGGACTAATGAGGCACAGCAGTCCAGGGACAAGGACTAGAAGGCAGCAGGGGACAGGAAAGCTGGTGATAGGGAACCCAAGGTTGAGAAGGGACAATGTTGACATGTCATGGGGTTGTTAACCATTGTCATAGGGCAATATGTGTACTAACTGTTTAATGAGAAACTATTTGTTCTGCAAAAC